AAGATTTTTTAAAATTTATATATACTTAATTGAATTAAATATTGATATTCATTTGAAGTAATATAATATAAATTTCGCATAATGAATCAAACAACTTCAATTGTGAGTGGATATAATTACGAAACAAATCAAAATTGTAAAATTTTACAGTTTGAGCTGTGAATCGATATTGAATTTTCCGGAGTGCGCGCGAGTTTTATTCTGGCACAAATGACACAATAGCGATGCCGATATCGGAAACTCTATGTTCGCGAATTTATTCACCAACGGGTTAGATAACGCAGCGCCCGCAAAATTGCGCATTCGCGTGATCAATACATTGACACCTTTTCAAAGTAAAACGCGATTTTCCAAACGCGACGAGGCGAATTTGAAGCATGAAAAGAGTTATTCTGAAATCTTCGTCCACTCAAACTGCGTTTGCGCAAACTTTCGCAGACTAAAAAAACAAGTTAAATTATACGTTATATTTACACGTGTCGGAAAAAAGGTACGTATTTTTACGCTCTAATTTCTTGCATAGATAGGTAGATATAATCACATTATCACATGCAATAATAATCAAATTTTTACCTTTACGTTACATTAATTCTTTTTAAATATCTTTTAGTAATTATATGGAAATTTCATAGCTTTTAGGAGTTCAGTATTGAAATTACCAGGTTCGTGTCGTTTCTTAGCATATTGAAAATTGCAAGTTATATTAGCGAACTAAAAATTGCGTCATCTCGCTAATTATATACTTGCACCGCGTATGATCACAACTGCAAATGTTCTTTCTTTGTCATAATTTAATAAAGTTCCTACTTTTTTTAATAATCATGAAATTAATTCTATTCGATCTTTCAGCATATTTGTTTCCCATGAACCATTTAATGTCGTCACTATTTTACGCAACGAAGCGCGCAAGCAAGAACGTCTCTTCTCAACGCATCGCAAGCTCGATCGATCTATCGAAAACTCACTCGAAGATCTCTCGCGCGATCGAAGCGGTCCGAGCATAAGCGAAAGCTTGGCTCGCTGCCGCCGCGAAGACTGCAAGCTCGCATCTTAGGCGGTGCCGTGCCGGCCGGCCGTTTTCCCCGGCGAGTTTACGGCGAAGCTTTCGAAATCCGTGCCGCGGGTTTGCAGCCACGGGCCGACAGGAGCCAATCGACCGACCGGCCATGGTGCGAACGCCACGAACGCCAGTCACCGGGTCGTTGTCCTGTGACGCCACAGAGAGCTTTGTGGCCCGTGCCGAGCTTACAGCTATCGTCGCTGCCGATGGCGTACGGAGTTGGTAGGGGAAAGTAGCTTGGAGAGGCGCGGTAGGGTTGTTGTGACGTCACACGCGTGGTATACGCCACCGGCGATGGACCAAAAACAGGCGCGGGTGGGAAGAGAGGGAGTTTCGTGCGCCGCTCTGTGATGTCATTGACTAAACGGCAACGTCGTTATGTGTGGGAGAGGGAGGGACACGCGAAAAGAGGATTTAACGGGCGGGGAGGGTGTTTTAGGAACGAGAGTAGGGGTTGGAATACGAGCACGGAGCTATTCTTGAACGCCTCAAAACACACCGTCCTTGCGGCCGCGAGCCGTGTTGCGTAATTACGTGGAAGAAGCTTTTCTGAAGGAGGCGCGTTCGTGCGAAATGGCCCTCGCACCAGAGCAAAGATGAACGAGAGAAATTGAGCGAAACGGAGAGAGAGAGAAAGAGATGAAACTTACGGTGACATAATTATGCGAGTGGCTGATTCCATTCTTTCTTTTTTGAGATGATACAGATTCATATAAATCGAGTTTGCAATAAGTGGAATTAAATTCAAATTGTGTTTAAATCTTTTTATGTAAGCGTAAGCTTCCGAAAAAATGAACTAAATTGTAAAGTAAGATTCTTTAATCAACTTGAAATCAATTATCTCTGAAGCAAAATATCGAGATGTAATTTCCGAATTACAAAGGATTAAAAGTATTGAAGGATGATATTAAATATTCTCTGATGCGTTAAATTAATAGATATAATTTTTGAAAACTATAAGTTAATTTAACAATTGTTACTAGCAAGTTTTCTTGTTGAAATGAAATCGATTTGTCAGAGGTGTCTCTTTACCCTTGACAAGTTCGCTCCATTAAACGCGAAAGGGTTAGCGTTAACGAACATGTCTATGGCAGGATAATTGATATACGGTCGCTCTTATCTATCTGCATTTTTTGCAGTCCGACACTATTAACCGTTCTTTTAATATAGATAAAAATTTTTTTGCACATTATATCCGTGAAAGCGAATCGGTCGACAACTACTATCCATTATATTTTCATCACGGATTAGTTACAGTCGCAATCTATCTCTTCGCTATTTTATTATATTTATCACATTTATCAATTTAACTATTGATAAAGAAAAATTGAACTACATATTTCGTTGTGATATTATGAATTTATTGTTCTTATTTTTCATAATTATAATGCTTATTCTCGCGGACAACATTCAACGCACGCGACCTTTTTTGTTTTGATAAATAAATGTTTTAATTAATTGATTGTAATATTTTAAATTATTATTATTATATTTTATACTCGTGTGTGTTAAATTTTTTTCTCTTAAAAATATAGCACAAATGTTTACTCTCCCGTCAATCTTGAATTTTATAAGTACATATTGATGATATATATTTCAATCGTTAAAAGTTTCGCGTAATTAGCCAACTGCAGTCCTATCTAATGCATAGCGCAACCGTAGTTTGAAACTCGGCACAGTCCATTGATTAATTTTCTATGCCGGTGACTGTACCAACGTATGTAGGAACATAGATATAAAAGGCCCATGCAAGGCCGCACGTTGAGCTCGCGTTGCGTTAACTCTCATGAAGATACGCGCTTTCCATGTTTCATAAATCGATTCTCTCGAGCCAAATGCGAAACGGTCGATGCAATAAACAATTCGACAGCCGTAATCCGCTACGCAGTTGGCTTACTTATTCATCTCACATTGGAGGAAGGCATAATCGTAAAGAGCGAAATAATCCTTCTTAATTATATCATATATATTTCGAAAGGCAACACAAATAAAAAGCAAAGATAAATAATGCAAAATAAAAGGATGAGTTTGCATAATCTCAAGATGTTTATAATTGGAAAATTGCCTATATTTCGGACAAAGTATCTTGCTTTTTTATAACACCTTCAAAGAGACTATCGTATATATATGTTTTCCTTCTCTTGCTAAGTGGCTATCAACGTTAACGTGATACGCGGCGCTCTCAAGAGAAGCAAAAGAGTTTGTTATTTCAACAAAGGGTGGAATCACTACTGGTGGCACGTAACTGTTCTATGAATCTCCTACGCTAACATTCGCGCAATGTTTTGCCCCGGGATGTGTCAAGAGCTGGTTGTTCCTCGTGCTGTTTCGCTCCATCAACACTCCTACTCTCTATGTAGTGCAAGGTTTAATTAAGCCTCTTAATTAACGCGTCTCGCAGCCGAGCAAAGTGCCCGTCCATCTTCCGCCTGAGAGAAAAACGGGAAAGTAGGCGATCTTTTTCGTTCTGCTGCAGCGTCAGCGCGACATCAGCCGAACAGGATGGGACGACGTGTTTGTGCTAATTGCGCTGTCACAGCAATCGTTAATTCAAATAACAATTACACGCTTTGTTAACTGATCACTGACACATAATTTTACGTGCTACTTCTTCTACATACGAATAACGACCGCTGCATTATTATTGCGCTCATATCATATACGTGTGATCCTATACGTTCTTTAAAACAAAAAAGCTTTCGCGCCATTGATTTTGTTTACAGAATAAAGACTCATTATTTTCTTTTCTATAAAAGTATCGCTCGAAAAATCCGGAAAGTTAAACTAGCTATATAAATCTACATGACGGCACCTGAGAAGTGGGAGGTTCTGCACTATGACTATGATAAATTATACAGTGGTGACTATTGATTTCACCGCGGCTAAGGTCAGACGCTACGGCAAAATCGAGTTCGAAGTAATCACTGGACTACGAACAAATTCAATCTTCTTGTGCTCCAAATAACGGAACCCGCGCTACATCCGCCTTACATATGAAAAAGCCTCGTAGCGGATTTTCTCCGACGAGGAAGAAGTTCCCGGATAAATATATAGGTTTAACACACTCCCATAAAAAAATTAGTAGAAAAATAAATATACAATGTAGCTTAAGCCTACTAATAGTTTAAAAGAAAACGGACATGTATATAACGTGAGAGAAATAAAAAATGTATTTTCTCATCAAACTCTCAACTCGCAACTTGCGTTCCATGTAATATTAACATCGTCTTTGTATATAAATTTCTAATAACACTTATCTTAAGAGAAAGAGATCTAGGTTGAGGAGGATGGCGGGATGAAAGATGCCTACTACGTTTGCGACTTCCCTACTAGCAGCCAATAAATCTCTACGTGCGACAACGCGTTATATTGATTTATTTCCGCTAGCAATAACCGTAAAGTTAGCCCGACACTTCGTGTTTATCTCGACTACTATAACGGAAACGTATACAAGACGTTTCTGTGACACTATTCGGTAAAAAATGTTGTCGTTAAAACAATGTCCTTTAAACGACGAGAAATGAAGAATATTCTGATTCTTCCAAGTTCGTGGATTTCTAAAGATATCTTTAGGTTGAAATATGTTTGCTTTCTCGCGCCTTCTTTCCTACATGCACAGACAAGTACAAGGACAGTTACCGTTTCGAACTAACTTATCACGGTGTATTAAGTATGCATGACATACGTATATCTAAACTGTCATAGACCAACAATTGAAGAGTTAAAAAGCGATCGCGAAGTATTTATATTTACATGCTTATATACGTATACAAGTCTACCCTTTAACGTATTTAACATTAAAGTACATCGCAAAACTTTACCTAGTTCAGATGAGCATTATTGATTTATGCCGATTTTGTTATCTAATCGCTATTCCCATAATTAAATTTAACTTAAATTATCAACGATTAAATGATCAATTGTCGGATACAGTACTCACCGTCCTTTCTGTAGTAAAGGATCTCGAAGTGCTTTTCGACGCCAGCGGCGAGGGCGTCTCGTAGGGCCGCGACCGCGTGCGGTGACGTCATTGGTCCATGGAGGAAGTCGCAGACCGCCGGACGCTGCATCACCTCGGCCCTTGAGAAGCCCGTCAGCCGGCAGAAACCGTCCGAGCAGTAGATAATGTGGCATAGTCCCTGTTGCGCATTCGCCACTAAAAAGCTTCGATCTGTAACAAGTAGAGAACGATCAGTTTAAACGACCGCCGGCTTGTAGGCGACGTCTTGCACGACACCTCATCGTTCTTGACACACGGAATTTGTTTTTTCAACCTATATAATGAGATACCGAAAGGGAAAATCAAACGCAAAATATTTCGAGCTTAATAATAGCAATGGTCGCACATGCTTCGTTAAATTTGCCGAGACTTCAATAGCTCATTAAGATACGTAGGCTACGACGTATTCTCGGAATATCTAATTTTAACCAGATTCGCTGCATGCCTATAATGCAGGATGGATGCTACGCTCGTTAACAATAATCTGGGAGCGACCTGGCATTTATATTTACCTTTGGATAGCTCGCGTATGAAGTCGCAAATTAAGGCAACCTGCTATTTTGCCTACATACGCGTAGCCTAGTTTCAGTGATAATGATACTATATTGTAAGGAATATATATATCATGCTATATATCGTTTTACCTTCCTAATATCATTTGTTTCGTTTGTATAAATGCTTCCGTCAGGTTTTACAAGATTATTCTATCGTATAGCGAGTAATGTGCGGATTTATCCCAACGTTGTACTGCAAATTTCGCATATCAATTCTCATTGCTGACGTAATAGCGAAATATGGATACACGACTACGACTCTGGTTGAGTCTCGTCGAAAGCTTCCGTACGTATTCCAGAGATTCGCGATCATCCATAGGATCGATCGTCATGGCAACGAGCGAATGGCGAAATCGCCAGATTCGCTCGAAACGCGGCGACCTTCGTCCTAAATTCGGCGACAGCCTGAAAGTAAGCACCATAAAATATTTCTGTGCCGTGGCCATTAAGGCCGTCTGCCACGCGACTGTAAGTCGGCTTCTCGAGACGGTATGCTCGACATCAAACCTCCTCTCTCTCTCTCTCTCTTTCTTTCTTTTTCTCTCTCGACGTGCCTTGTCAAGAGGGACGCGAATTATCTGATACTGGATACACCAGTCGTATGGGTGACTAAAACCATCACCATCGTGTCTTTCGACCCCCTAACGCTTTAGGTTGAAATTGACTTTATTTCATGTTGACAAGATTGGAGTGCGGCACGCGTCAGCTGGCGACGCCGTTGTCGCCGTCGCCGCCGTCGATGCCGACACTGTCGGTCATTCCAAGAATTTATATCGAATGCATGTGACTCACTCAAGCTGTTATGCGAAGTTTCGCAAATGACATTCTACGTAGAAATATCGCTTTTAAGATACACGGTCTTTTGTTGGTCAACAACGCGAATAGACATCAAAATAGAAAAAGATAATATTTGCCAGATATGAAATACAAATTTTAGAGTTTTATTTTTTGACGTATTAAGAAATATATATATTTTTTGTTTCACAATTTAATGCAAGGTCACTGACGAAAAAAAAGCTTATAGTGCGGATAGATGCAATCGAAGTAGAAAAAGACAGTATTCGTCAGACACGAGGTACAAATTTTCAAGTTTAATTTTTTTTGCACATTAAGAATAAATAAATAAATAAATAAATATTATATATATATATTTGTTTCACAATTTAATGCAAGATCAAACAAAAACATTCTTATAACGCGGATAGATACAATCGAAGTAGAAAAAGATAGTATTCGTCAGACATAAGATACAAAATTTCCAAGTTTAATTTTTTACACATTTAGAATAAATAAAAAAAATATATATATATATATTTGTTTCACAATTTAATGCAAGATCACTGACAAAAAAATTTTATAATGCGGATAGATACAATCGAAGTAGAAAAAGACAGTATTCGTCAGACATGAGATACAAAATTTCCAAATTTAATTTTTTTACACATTAAGAATAAATAAATATATATATATATATATATATATATATATATATGTGTGTGTGTGTGTGTGTGTGTGTGTATGTATATATATTTTTCACAATTTAATGCAAGATCACTGACGAAAAAATTTTTACGCGGATAGATACAGTCAAAGTAGAAAAAGATAATATTCGACAGACATGAAATACAAACATTAGGATTTAATTCTTTTTGCACATTAAGAATAATTGTATATATCTATATATATTTTTTTGTTTCACAATTTAATGTAAGATCACTGACGAAAAAAATTCTTATAACACGGATAGATGTAATCGAAGTAGAAAAAAACAATATTCGTCAGACACAAGTACAATACAAATTATCGAGTTTAATTTCATTTACACATTAAGAATATATATATTTTTTTATTTCACAATTTGATGCAAGATTATTGATGAAAAGAAATTCTTATAATGCGGAAATTCTTATAACAGATATACAGTCGAAGTAAAAGAGAGTATTCGACAGACACGAGTTACAAATTTTCTTTAAATTTTTTTTACATTAAGAATAAATAAATATTTATGTATTTTTTTCTTATTTCACAGTCTAAAGCGAGATCACTGACAAAAAGAAATTTTAATAAATCTTAATAAAAAGTAACGAAAATTAATGGATAATGTTCTAGATTCTAGAGGCAATGCTTTTAAGGCAGTCGAGTTGAGAAATAATGACTCATGGATACGCAAGACTGGTTGAAAGGTTCTCTTAGATACGCAAATGTTCTGTTTTAATGAGATAAATATGTCTTCTCATACGTGATAATTTTGAATAATTTTTTTCGCGCAAAGTGATCTCGCACTGTATTATTGTTACAGGATTAATTAGAATCGCGCTGTTTCACGAACCGGATACTGGTCATCACGATTTACGTGGGAGGACGGATATTCCCGCTTACTTAAATATCTCGTCGAGTGTGATCGAGATATTAATACGCGCGACCGTTTTCAAGTGCATTTCAAGTGCCGGCGTTATGGCGCACCAGAATCCAGCAGAAATGTCAGTCGTGCCGAGCGTCACAACTGCTTTGCGTGCCATAGGCGCCACCGTGCCCTCATATTCCACCGCGTTACGTACCTGAGCATTCTGAGCGAAGGACAATTGGGTTTAATGAAGCCCAAATTGAAAATACAACGATACGCGCGCGCGTTATGCACAACGTATAAGATTAATCATACGCCGCGCCGTCGGATGTCCAAAACAACATCACCTTGCATATCGCGTGACTGCCTTCTTTCCGTGCCGTGTATCGCCGCCATGGATTACGTTCTTATTGAATTACTCCAAAGATCGACTCTACACACTGTCGTTTGCTATAACGACGTGACGGAGTCCTCGGAGTAATATATATATATATATGTATTTTATATTATAACTATAAGGCGAAAGTTCATTAATTATCGCAAAGCATGATTTAATTTTTAATCTCGGTTAAGTAAGCTTTAGTGTCCTTGCACGTATTGGAATATACGTACACACATACGTAATAATTATCGATCAGTAATAAATTATCCAATATATAGCACGTGTGACATATGTGTGCGTATGTAATATCGTGTAAATATTTTTTTCATAAGAAGGATAATAATAAAATAATTTTCTAATTAATATCGCATTTGCATAAATAAAATTTTTATTTGGCAAATTTAAATTTCTCCTTTATATCTTTAATCATTTAATTTTCGCCACGTGGAAAAGTAAACTTAATATAGAATATCTTATCGTACTAATAATTAAGCAGATATATGAGATTCTTTCTAATCGTAGATGCGATATATCGATTACAAGGCTACTTTTCACGAGGGCATTTGCGATTAAAGATATCCGAACGGATTAATTATTGCTCGCGCCTCTCTCTCTCTCTCTCTCTCTCTCTCTTTTACATCAGTTGTTCGTACTTCATCCCCCCTCCCCTTTCTTTCTTCGCAGAAGCGATCGTGACATAGCACACGATAAAGCTAATTAACATTATGAAGCGCGTTTGCGAATGCGATCATTTTGAATATTGCGTGACTGGGCTCTCTTAGTCGATGCTTGCGCGAGATACGACACGATATTACGTTACACCGAAATGCTACTCAACGTGCAATTTTGATTTCATGCCACTCAAGAAATTTCTCGATAATCGTTATACGTTATACGTTATTAACACCTCTCAATTAAAGATCTCTCAATGTCAAATTGACCATTAATATATCATTTCATCACGATATCTCTCCTCTCTGTTCTTGAATCATAACTTTTACACCTATGTTGATGCAGCAATAAATATTTTAAATTTTCTAACAATACTACTTCATTTTCTCGATAAATCTAGAGTGCCAGATGCATTTGTATGGCTTACATCAAATAATCTGGATAAAAAATTTACGACTACCAAGAAAAACGTGACTCAGAAGTTGAAGCTCCATCTTCTCTCCCTCTCTCTCTTTCTCTGTATGAGCAATATTTTAATCGTGTTTAATAATGTTCTTCGGCTACAACCAGCGAAGAAACATCATTCACCGCCGTCTAGGCGAGATTGATCAATGTGATCATTCATATTTTTCCACCTGCACAACGCGATGAAATTGCAGGGACAATATATTATATGGGTTTGTAAATACAATCATTTTATCAAAGAGATATGTAAGTTCTACCTTTAAGCTCTGAGAAATTATAATAATTATGCTGCTCTGTATTTAATTTTTGTATGTCAAAAACAGATGTTAAAAATTAATAAGACATATGTATATAATTACTATTCATAATCCAATATGATCATTCATATTTTTTTACCTGCATAATACGATGAAATTGCAGGGACAATTTATGTTTGTAAATGCAATAATTTTATCAGAGATATGTAAACTCTAGCTTTAAGCTCTGAGAAATTATAATAATTATGCTGCTCTGCATTTAATTTTTTATGTCAAAAACAGATGATAAAAATAAATAAGATATATGTATTTAATTATTGTTCACAATCCTTGCTTATTCTTTAATTTATATTTAAAGATTATATTTGTGGGAAAAATGTAGATAACAGGATAATATGATGAAATTAACAAAGTTTTGTTCTATAAAAACTTAGATGCAGCGACCCGTTTTGTTTCGCGTCGTGTTTTGCTCGTTATTACAACATGCGCAGAATATG